CCCATCCCTCCCTCTCCTCCCTCCATCCCCCCTTCCTCCCTGCCCAGGCGGCGGCGGCGGCGGCGTCGTCGTCGTCGTCGCGTTGCGTGTTGCTCTGCTCGGAGCTTGTCTGACCTGTGCAATGACCACCACCACCCTCCCTCCCTCCCTCCGGCCCAACCTCCCTCCCTTCTTCCCTCCCCTTCCTCATCCTCCAGATGTAAGCGGGAGGACAAACGTTGCTGGACGTTTGTGCACCCATCAAACGGAAACCCAACAAACAACGTCTCAACGTTACCACCGACGGAAAAGGCGCCTTGGACAAAATACCAGACACCGCAAGGCCGCCCAAAAGGATGCTGTACTGAGCGAATCGTCACTGAGCCGAGAATCCGGCACCGTGCCCCCTGGCACGTTGAGGCCTGGAAGGATGCCAAGATACTCCAAATCCCTTATTAATCGCCCCCCCCCAAAAAAACAGACCCCACTCCAAATGCGACTTAATCTTCCAGACCCCCCTCTTCGACGGGGCGCCTTAATGAACCAGACACCCTAAGCTCCAATCCAAAGAAAGCGCCCTAATAAACAGGACCCCCCCAGTTACAAAACAGGCGCCTTAAAAAACCGGACCCGGGGGACGATTAATAAGGGATTTGGAGCATAGGGCTGTAGATTCGAATATGGGATCCTCTCCCTGCCCGCGGACTCTTGCCTGCATCGCCTCTACTCACTGCGGCCACTTCCGTCGTGACCGCTCCCGAATGGTGCACTTCCACCATGGCAGCTCATGCCTAAGACAACCATGCCACGCGTGCCCGCTCGAGGATGGTGACCTTCCCGCATATGGAAGCTAATGCCTGAACCCCCCTTGCACGCGCGTTCGCTCAAGGATGGTGCACTTCCCGCATGGCAGCTACTGCCTGAACCCTCATTCCACGCGCGCCCGCTCGAGGATTGTGCACTTCCCGCATGGCTGCTAACTCCTGGACCCCTCATCCCACGCGCACCCTCTCGAAGATCGTGCACTTCCCGCATCCCCAGGCGCTGCTTCCAATCGCTCCAAGGCCACCCGAGCCACGATCCCTCGTTAAAAACGAATGACTTACGTCCCGAGTTTACAACACGGCCCATGCACGCAACCAAGGACACCAAGATGGCACAAGATCCCTCGAAAACGGCCCAAGATGGCCCCAAGGCGGCCGAATCAGGACGGCCCAAGATGCCTCCAAGAGGGCCCAAGATGGCTACAAGACCTCCAACAGGGTCATAAGAAGCCAAAACCATTGACTTCCCTTTAGAGTTTGACTGATTGTTGCACTCTCGCCTTCTCGAGCTGCCGTCAGCTCAAGACGGCCCAAGACGACGATGGCCCAAGAGGTAGCCAAGACGGTCCAAGACGTCCCAAGAGGGCCTCCCGTGGGATCCAAGACGGCCTTAGAAGGCCCTTCGACGGCCGAAGACGGCGCCAAGGCGGCCCCACGACGGCCCCCAGACACCCATCCTACGGCCAAGAGGGTCCCGAAACGGCCCAAGAGAGCACCAAGCCGGCCTAAGAGGGCCCCAAGGAGGCCCAAGAGGGCTCCAAGGGACACCCGAGACTGCCTCGCAGGAGGCCAAGACAGCCCCAAGACGGCCCAAACGAGTTTCACCCTCCTCCTCCTCCTCCTCCTCCTCCTCCTCCTCCTCCTCCTCCTCCTCACCACCACCACCACCACCACCACCACCACCACCACCACCACCACCACCACCACCATCACCATCACCATCACCATCACCATCATCATCATCATCATCATCATCATCATCATCATCATCATCATCATCATCATCATCACCATCATCATCACCATCACCATCACGATCACCATCACCATCACCATCACCATCATCATCAGCATCATCATCATCATCATCATCATCAGCATCATCATCATCACCATCACCATCACCATCATCAGCAGCAGCATCATCATCAGCAGCAGCATGATCATCATGGTCATCATCATCAGCATCAGCATCATCATCATCAGCATCATCAGCATCATCATCATTATCATCATCATTATCACCATCATCGTCATCATCATGAGCATCAGCATCAGCATCAGCATCATAATAATAATCATCATCATCATCATCAGCATCATCATCATCATCATCAGCATCATCATCATCACCATCACCATCACCATCATCAGCAGCAGCATCATCATCAGCAGCAGCATGATCATCATGATCATCATCATCAGCATCAGCATCATCATCAGCATCATCAGCATCATCATCATCATTATCATCATCATCATTATCACCATCATCGTCATCATCATGAGCATCAGCATCAGCATCAGCATCATAATCATAATCATCATCATCATCAGCATCAGCATCACCATCATCATCATCATCATCAGCATCATCATCAACACCACCACCATCATCATCATCATCATCATCAGAATGATCATGATCATCATCGTCATTATCAGCATCAGCATCAGCATCAGCATCATCAGCATCA